AAAACTTGATTGATATTTGAGATGTAGAATAGTTTCTTTTTCATTGTTATTGCAAGTCAGAGATGTAGGTCTGGTGTTTGTGACTAGGACAAGAATTCCAAACTGCTAATATGGACCCAAATAGAAATGCAAAATTTCTTTTGGTCTTAATACTGTAACTCATTCCTTTAATTCTCACAGCTATCAAGAGAGATCACTACCACTGGCTGCCCTTGCAGGTACCAATGAGTCTGATTAGTCCTCCCATGTATAAGTGTGGTCCAACTGTTCAGTATCCTCTGATCCAGAAATATCTCTGGGAGTCATTTTTCATTCTTTCACAAAACAAGAGACACTGAAGTATGCTGTTCAAAAGGAAGTAATAGACCTATTGATTTAACATTAATGCCTACAAAAACACTTCGACAGCTTTTTGAACAAGGTAGAACAACCACTGCTTGTTTCATACCCAACTGGGTCAAGGCTTTCCCTATAAGAGCTGGTGGCTGTTTCTTCCCCCACAAGGTAGCACTTTCCTTATTAGGTCAGCTCTAAGAGCAGTCACTAAATTGAATAAAAATAGACTTCTTTACAACTGTGCTCTTTAAACCTAGTTCTGTTCTCTGGAGCTCCACAGGTGAAGTCTGACCCCTGGCAGCTATCATATTTTTTCCTTAATTTTTCCCCAATCCCTTCTCCACTCAGAAGACAGAGTCCAGACCCTTGGTCCTTGCTTGAAGACATGAAGAACAATGGGAACTTGGGAACAATAAAATTAGTTAAACAATCACATAGAAGAAATAAGAAAGAGTGTCTTAAGAATGGAGACGCCTCATCTTAGAAAAGTACTTTTTGGAATATTATTGCAGAGAATGGTTACTTGCATGTTCCCATCTTCCCCGATAATAAAAAGAAGAAATAGTGGGCTTAAGGCAGTGTTTTTCATCTATAGATGTTGGCAGACAGAGAAAGGTCTGTATGGTTCTTCGCCGTGAGTTCTTAGAATTAATCTAGTACTTGACCACAGAACTCTTTTTTTCATGAAGCATTTTATGGATACTAGTATTCTGTAAAACAGATTTTAGGTAATTATGATTTTAGATATGCTATTTGAAATAACTTCCTGATTGATTATTGCTGGATCCTGGAATCAGTGGCCAAGAAACACTATGATGTTTCCTTGCTTGGAGGGTTGGTAGACTCTTCCTCCCTCTCTCCCTTTCTTCTCTTCTCTCTTTCTTTAACACTAGCATTAGGCACCCACCTGCCTGAGAGTGTTGAGGGAGGGGTAAGCTTGTGACATAGAGAATCTGGGAGTCTAGATGCTTCCCATCCTCATGAGTCTATTTTTATGGATCCCAATCGTGGTAGTGTTCCATAGAAGGTACTAGCTGGGACAGGAGGTAACTGAGAGTTTGGGCCAGCAGGAAAGGGGGATGGAGATGGGAAAAGTTGATGCAATTATTTTTGGCAGGAGTTGGAACCAAAGCAGCAGGAGAGAGTAAGTTTTAAGACTCTCTGGCAAAGAAACTTCCTAATCTGTCACTGAGTATGTGTAAAAAAGTGATTAGTGGGTCTCTATATTTATCATGATTACTCACAAATATACAATTTACATAATATATACAGCACATTAAGTACTATGTTACCTTATATAATGTGCATATGTATAATGTATATGCATGTTATGTAACGCCAGTCTGGAGGCTCTTCCAGGCTCTGCCAAGTATTTCCTAATTTATTTGGCAATTTTAACATATCTTTTCCATCTGTGGAAAGAACTCTCTTGAGAGGAGCTGGTCTCTGACCTGAAATATAATCATCCTACTAAGTCTATCTCAATTCTCAACTCACCGGAGGAAACCCACAAAGACCAAGCAGTAACGAGGTACAACTCCTAGCCTCTCAGTCCAGGGACAATACAATGTGTCAAAGATTTCCTGTTTCATTCTTTATTGGGGTAGTGGGGTAGAAGTGTGGGGGCAGGTGAGAACATGTCTGTGGCATGGCCAGGATCAGAATAAGTTGAGGAATAAGGACTGGATTATCCCTGACTGCCTGTGTGATTTTGAGAAGTTACTAAACTCCATAAACTTTGGTTTTTTATTATTAAGATTGGGATGATAATAATACTTTCTCTGCCAACCTCAGAAGTTGCTGTGAGGTCCACTCTGATGAGGTGCTCTATAGTAAGAAACCACAGTCACAGTTGTTAAGGGATGAGTGGCAAGGTCAACAACAACAGTAGGCTTACTGAGGTTACCAAATTGGAAGTGCAACTCCACCCAAGTTTGTTATACTCTCTTTGGCCCCAAGGAAGACTTGGGACATGTCTCTCAAGCAACATTGTAAGTCCTATGCATTAGAGTGGGCACAGGGCCAGTCTCTGACTTGTGAATCTTTGAGAATCAGTTTCATGTGTTCATAGTGTCATGTCTCAACAGCCTCAGTGTTGGGGGATCAGGGCTGAAACGCATGCAAAAACTTCTGTAAATGTCTTAGAATCAGTGACCCCAGACCTGAACCTGTGTGTGTTTCAGAATCAAGTGGCTTCCACGATAGTACCTGCTGCCATTCTGGAGCTTGTTGGTCCCATCACCATAGATCCCGTCACTCAGGAGATTCTTCAGGTGGCCTGGTTTTCCCCTTGCCCAGTGCTCTGCACTGTTAGGTTGAGCAGGATGGTCCTAGGTGACTGCTTTCTTCAGAGTTAGAATCAATTTGTACACACAATCTTTATTTTCCCTTCCTTGTGCAAAGCTCCTGACCCAGTGCCAAGAATTAAAGGAAGCTCAGTGGACCAATGTCCAGTGGGCCCAGGTTTCCTCTTTAGAAATCTCAGGGGGAAGGAGGCCTGAGGGAACAAAGGTGTGAGGCAAATGTTTCTTCTACCAAAGAAGCTCCACAGACACTTGCCCTCGGGAAAGGAGGGTAATGCCAGCACCAGCTGAATGAAGCCCACTGAACCCCACTGAGACTCCTCTGGGTACTGGCTGGCAGTACCTTGCAGAAGGTACCTCAGTCCTCCTGTGACTCTCCACTGAGGTTATCCCTGCAGCCAGGGTTGTTTCCATACTGAGAGACTGTGATTACCACGATCAGGTGATATGTGGAGAGTTTGTTGATCTGTCCAGTGCTTTCAACCCCAGACCAACTTCTCAGCAGTTCAGGCCAGAGAGAATCCCTGGGAAGCATCATGAGGCCTCATTTTTTTATGTGAGCTTGTCCCATCCACACATGTACTGCACATTCATTCTTCCCTGGCAACCCGGGTCCAAATGGAATCATTTCTCAGTGACCAGAAATGACCCTATTCCAAGATGTGTGGGTTATTCTCTCTATTGAGTATCTTCTTAAGTGGCACCTATTTCCAAACCACATTATCCAAGATACCATGGACAAGTTTCTTAAGTTTTCTGAGACCCAGTTTCTTTATCTGGCAAATGAGAGAATAAATCCTGCCCAGCATATATTTCATGGTTGTTTTGATGATCCAGAATAGGAATTTTCAGTCTCTCAATGATAAAAAGGTACTTCAATTTCCCTAAATCCCACAGTCACCATGGGGCAATGTATCTTGACAAGGAAATGGTGGAATGGGAGAGTAAAAACCTTCTTAATCTTTCCCATTTTCTGTTCCTATAGTACATTTTTTTTTTTTCAAATCAGGAAAAGTCCATCAGTAAATAAATATTTATATTTATAAATATATATGCTACATATATGTACACACACGTAAGACCATCAGAAAGGCCTTCTGGTCATACTCTGGGAGTGGTAGGTGCAGAGAGGCTGGAGGGAACTGCCTGATGGCTTGTCTCCTGGTCTCCTCAGCAAATGGCCCTTCCCGGCCGACTTCTCTGGCTTCAGGAATAGACTGCCACCAGGGCTTGGAACTCAAACAGGAAACACTTTGGCTTGAAAAAGAAAGAAGCTGGGGGTGGTTTTTTTCTTCCCTTTTTACACAATATTATGACACCAATTTGAAAAATAAATCCCAGTTTCTCTGCTTTTCCTCCCAGGTGTTCACAGAACTAAGAAAATAAATACCACATCTAAGGTGTGCTGTGCAGGCAGCTCTGGGGGCTCCTGGAGCCGTCTCTAAACAAACACAGTCACCAGGAGAAGGCTTCGGGAAATAACAAGTGCCCACTGACAGTGCAGAGAAACAAGAATGGAAACAGCTTTCCACAGCCTTTCTGCCTCCTCAGCAGGTTCAGGGAGAAGCTGTCGCTCGAAGGACGACCAAGAAACCAACGTGCGCTTGCTGAGCCCTGCCAAGGGTTATGCTCTGAGTGTCGGAGGCCATTTGTCTCTTTACAGAGGGACCTTTGTGTAAGCTCTCTGGACCGGGAGCTCTTTCCCTTGGCCACATCCGATCTCACCATAGGCAGGAAGCCTGCAGCCTGCTCTTTGTGAATGTCCACGAGGAAACTTGCAGGGTCGGCGGGGAGAAAGGGGGCAATCCCCTTCAATCTCAGAAAGTCTCACTGACGGCCTCTGGGAACGTGGAGGCTGCTGCAGGAGCCAACCATGCCCGGTGGGCCCTGAGTCCACTTGAAACATTCGGTTGTCACTGACTCTGTCAGGGTGTGTCCACTGTGGAAATAAAGAGAATGTATGGCAGGTTGAAGGTTTCCTCCTAAAGGGTGGCTTTGTTTCCACTGCTTAGAGAGGAGAGGGTGTATGTATTTGTGCGTGTGTGCATGTGTGTGTGTGTGTGTGTGTTACAGTTCCTTGTTTTCTCTCTTGGTTTAACTGGCAATTGGCACATTGTTTAGTCTTTTGAACGGCTCTTTCTCCTCAGCGAAAAGAAGCTGCTCTTCTGGGGAGGTCCCATCATCATGGGCGCTTGGTTCTTGTGAATAATTTTAATCTAAAAGCAAAGAGGCAGAAATGAATTAGTGGCATGCAAATCCCAGTACCCTATGGGAGAGTGAGTCTCAGAGAGAAGAAGGAAGGCCAGCTTCAGGTTGGAAGGAGCACCATGCAGAAGGACGACTGTCCTTGAACAGCGTCAGAGCTGGCAACTGGACCCTGACTAGGCCTGGAGTTTGGCGCTACTGGAAGTGAGGGGCGGAAGCACTGGGGACAGACAGGTGTGAGCTTCCCACGTGGTAATCAGCTAGCACCTGTCTTGTGTCCTTGCTATTCATAGACTTTCAGAATGTCACAGCCGGAGGAGACCTCAGGGACCATCTTGTTCAACCCCTCTGCAGGATAGAGGCCTAAGGTCACACAGAATGGGGTGGAACAGCCAGAGCCCAGTTCTGCAGATTCCCAGCCTCCAGTGCTCCTAGCCATTCCTGCTTAGGCAGTGCTGAGATGTCAACCAGTGACTCAAAGTTGACTTGTCTGACCTCTGACTCGAGTAACATGATCTGGAGACTTCCCAAGTGTATCTCTCAGATCTTTTCTCTTTTCTTCATCTTGCAGGAAAGACTTAACTTTCCTTTAAAAGCATGTGGGTGTCTTTTGTTTGTTTGAATTTCAAGTTTTATGAGTATTTTCTCCTGTAAACTTTAAGTTAATTGGAAGTGGAAGACATTGGTGAATTCTCATTTTTGCCTTTCTTCCCAACCTTATCCTCAGGGCATAGCTTCAAAATGCTTAATCCTTATTTGCATGTGGCCTGGTGACACTGCCACGTCAATAATCTGCATTATCAGTGTTTCAATCACATCGATCAAGTATGATGTGTTCAGAGTCGGAAGATGATGTGGGAACAAGAGGTATTTAGGATTCAAAGACCTGGATTTGCATCCCAGAATGCCCACGTCTTTGCTATGAACCTTTGGAAAAATCCCTTAGTCTGGGTCTGGTCAACTGTAATATAAGGATATTTGTCCTATTTTTCTCACAAAGTTGTTGCGAAGATCCAATGGTAGACTGCCAATGAAAGCCCATCATAAAGTGTGAAACGGAAAGTAACAGTTAAATAATTGTTATCTTACTTTGGGGGAGGAGAAAGATGTATACTAAAAGCAACAGAATCTATGAGCCTCTTCTCGTGATTTTTATCACATTGGAAATGACATTGTGACCCAGAAGAACTATTGGGGAGACCCATCAACATGTTTAAATGAATGTAGCATAAATCAAGTGGAGTCAAAAAGAAGTTAGGTAAGGAGTAAGAAGAGTCTGAATGGAGTATTTGAGGAAGGCTTTTAAGATCTGAAAGGAAGGGAAGGAAATGTGTTGCTGAAAAGAGAAAGGGAAGGCACTGGGGAGAGGGGCCACATATGAACTGGTTGAGTGGAGGGCAGAGGATGAGAAATGGGTTCTGGGACACAGATGGGACAGTTAGTGTAGGGCTTTAAGGGGCTTAATGTGAGGTGATGGGGAACCAAATAACTTTTTAAGTTGGAGAGTAACATGATAAAAAAATAATTTGAAGGAAATTATTCAACAGTTGTTGTCAGGGTGAGCTGGAATGGGGGAGTCTGGCCAAGAGGATAGTACTGGAAGCCAGGTTTAAGTTGATAAGGCCCCAGGATATGGAAAGGAAAGGGCAGGACCAAAAGATGTGGAGAGTTCCTGAGTGATGGAAGCTGAAAATGACTCTTATGTTGGCTCCCACAAGCCTGGAGATCTAGAAGGGGAGTCCGTCTTTCTGTTTTGTGGTAGTCACCAGAGGAGCAAGCCAAGAACATATCAAGCACTGTTTTGTGTTATGTGCCTTTTATGGGCATTATGGTTATTCCAGAATTTATGGAAGTGAGGCATGGACTAGGGACTCTGACAGCACTTCTTGGTGGCATGTAATTTTGCACTCTCTGATGACAGCAATTTGTGACACATTTCCTTGCGGTGAGCCCTCTCTTCCTCCCTGAGCACATGAGTCCCTTGAGGGGAAGAGCTTCGCCTCGCTCACCTTGGTAGTCCCTGAGCCAGCACAGTGCCTGTTCAGAGGGCATGCTGTGGGAGCAGTGACCCACTAGCCTTCCAAGAAGAGAGCGAGTACCCTGGTGGTGGAGATAGCTATGTTTGGGGCAGAGTGGCAGCTGGTGCACGGCCTACATTTCCAGCTGATGGAGCCCATTTTTCCCCCAGATGATAGAAGACCCTGGCTTCTCCTTTTTCTCCCTCTAGCTGAACTATTTATTTGCTTGTTAGCACCTCCAAGGCAAAGAGGAGGAAGTGAAACTCAAATCCCTCTTGTTTGGTTTTTCAGCAGTTTTGACGAAGGTCTTGATTGGGTAGGAGCTTGGAGATCCTTTGAAGTGGTTTGTAGATTCTAGTACTACAGGTAACTGAGTGTTGACTGTATGTATACACACCGAAGGCAAGAAATATGAGATTATATCCTCTTGGAGGCAAAGAGATGTCAGTCTCTTACCACTTAATCCCCAAATTAGGAGGGGCCAGTGGAATTAAATGGCAAAGATCTCATTTTAGAAGATAGTTGGGTGTGGTTAAACCTGACTTTTTAACCCCTAATGGAAAGAGAGCATTCATGTTTCTGTAGTTAGAATCCAAATTTTACTGGTAAATGGGCAGGGCAGGCAATTAACTAAAGTCTCTATGATTTTCTTAAACACCTTTTATAATATTTACATCTGACAAGCACTAAAGACAGCAGCCCCATGTTCCCAGCTCTCTTCTCTATTATAGAGAGAAGTGATACAGTAGACTCTTGTGATAGTCACAAAACGACTGCAGTATATAATTTCCCCTTTGAAAGGAGTAAATTTTAAAATTTCGCTAGTGCTGGGAGTTGACTTTGTTTTGGGGACCATCTTCTGGAAATCAACACATTTTTATTACTTCAAGAGAAGCAATAAACTGAGAGACTTACTCCTGAACGTTGCCCTCTCAGGGCAAATAATTCGAATCATGCCCAGCAAAATGGCCAGTAACCATAAGTGTGAACCTTTCCCCAATCATTTGGGAAGTATCCAAGTCTGCCCTGATTTCAGTTGGAGATAAAGGCACAAAACTGAAAGGTCTAACTAGTCTTTGTGATATTTTAAAAAGTCAAGGAAATATTCCTGCTTAAAGTGAGTTTTGAGGAAGAGAAAGGGGGTTTGCAATATTTCAAGTCTTAGCTATTTCTGGGTTCTCTAAGATCTTAAGATGCCCTGCTCCATAAGAATGTTTCCTGCCACCAGAGGCTTTCAAATGTAGCTGGACAATTGGGTTTTATTAGGGGTGGAGAAGTCTGGGATTTATTGATAAGTTGGGAAATTCAACTAGATTATCGGTTCTCAAAGTGTGGTCCCTAGACCAGCAGCATCAGTATTTCCTGGAAACTTCTCAGAAATGCAAATTCTCAGGCATCCAGACCTACTAAATAAGAAAACCAGCAATTTGTGTTTTAAAAGCTTTCCAGGTTATTTGAATGCATACTCAAGTTTGAGAATCACTGGACTAGATAAGTAGAATCCTTTTCAACTTTGAGACCCTGCTATTATCTAACTCTGACAGAGGATCTTTAAGTAATTTCAAGGCTCAAATGATGCTGCCTAACTGTGATGGTAAAGCATGAGAAGTCATTGTACAGGGCTGCAAGCACAAGGCAAGTTGTTAGATTATGTATATTTTATACACACATACCCTTATGTATAAACAAATATATGCCCATTTTTGAGAATTTAGAAATTATGAAAAAAAATTAAAAATCACCTAGAGGTAATTGCTGTTAAGTTTTTGGTAGGGCCCCCCCCCCCCGTTTGTTTCTGTGCTTATATGTTTTTAATAAAATTGAAATCAGTTGTTTTCATTTAACATTATTTTGCAAGCATTTCTGATGTTACTAAAAATTCATTAAATATAATTTTCAGTGGCTGAATATTATTCCATTTGATGAATCCCATATAGCTTATTTAACCCTTTCCCTAAATGTTGGGTTTTTAGGTAATTTCCAATATTTTTTTTTGCTATTATGAATAATATAGACATTGACATTTTTATACATTGGTTCCTGTATTTCTGGTAATCTGTATTTTACTTAGAATAAATACCTAGAAGTATATGAACAATTTTAAGGGTTAAAGGAACTGGATCAATGTATACTAATATTTGCAAGAATTTTCTTGATATATGGCTCCATATGCTTCCCAGAACAGCTGTACCAGTTTATACTCTGGCCTCACTGGTTGAGTGTGCCTGCCTCGCCACATCCTTGACAACAATGAATATTATCTTTAAAAGAAAAACAAATTGTACTAATTTGGTAAGTGAAACATGGCAGGACTTTCTCACTATTTTAATTTGAAATTCTTTCTCCCCTTTTTTCTTAATTTGTTATATTAAATATTATTTAATAGATTTATTAGCCCATAGCATTTCTTCTGTGAATTGTCTGTTCACAACTGCATTCCTAGTATTTTCTCCTACTGATTTCTAGGAGGTTATTATACATTATGGGAATTAACCTGATTGTTGAGATAGCTATTGTAAACATCTTGTCCTTAGCCTTTAAAGATCTATATTGATTCTTGACTTGTAGAGTCTAAAATTGGTTAATAGTCATATATGTCACGTTTTCCTCTTTAGAAAGTCGTTGATCACAGTGTGATTATAGTCACCTTTATTTCTCTCCCTAGCTAGTAACATTTAATTCTTTAATAGAATGGGAGTTTTTCTGTTTTGTTTCTGGAGTATAGTTTGAGTTGAGAAGTGGTATATAGTGACATTTTCCCAAACAGGCAATTTCTTAGATAGCATATGTTAAACGGTCCATTCCATCCAAATTATTTTATGATCTTCCTCTTTTTCTTCATTAGTTTTTATGTACTAGAGTTTCTTAAGGCCCTCTTCTGTACTGTTGATTTATCTATACAATATTGAGCCAACTATTGTGGTTTTATAGCTGTTTTAATATCTTGTGGGAAGCCCTTTCTCATAGTTCTTTCATTAAATGCCTTCGCTATTGCATTGTTGTTATTTTTTTAAGTTAAAAATCAATTGCAGTAGGATTTTGTTTGGGATCCCTATTTAGACACATGCTTCTAAATTCAAATCCTTTTTTATATTTGTTAAGTCTTTAAGTCTGCATCTATTTTTATATCTGTCATATTATGTAATGTTATAATTAAATAAGACCATTACCACATTTCTATTTTTATTTTTATTACATTTATTATATATTTTTTATATTTTACTATCTATGATCATTGGTTTTTTCTTTTTGAAATTAAGTTTTCAAACATTTGACATGTTTAAAGAACTAGTTCTAGATTTTCCTGTTTTTCAGTTATTTAATTTCTACTTTTATCTTTATTACTTTCTTGCTTCTGCTTCTCGATTTGTTTTATTCTTGTTTTTCTAATTTTGAAATTATTCATTACTTTTTTTCTTTTTAAGTAATAGATGTTTATGAGACTCTGAATATACCTCCAAATATGGCTTAAGCTATATTCTTTAAGTTTTGAATGAGAGTCTTTTAATTTTTATTATTTTTTAAATAGTCAATAATGGCAGTTTTAACCTCTTGAATCTGCTGTTGTTTAGAAAATATAAAAATCTCTGAGTAATTAAATTTTGTTTTTTATTCACTTAATCTTCTATTATTAAGTTTTAGTTTTATTGCTTTGTGGTCAAATAAAAAATAACTTCTATAATTTCTGCTTCTGGATTTTATATATATATATTTTTTGTAAACTAGTTTATGATCTATTTTAGTAAATATTCTGTGGATCCTTGAAAAAATGAGATATTTAATTTGCTTATAGGTTACTGAGTGTTTTCATTCAAGTTTTATGTCATTTAGTTTTTCTGCTATTTGATCTCAAAGGCAGAAACAAATATTTTAAAGGCTTCAATACCTTTCTATCAACTTTTTCTTATATATCAATTTTTTTTCTTCACAATATATATTGATACAGTTTTTCACATTATATATTTTGATCCTGTTATTAGATACCTAAAATTTTATGACCGTTACATCTCATAATTGAATGTACTTTTTAACCAAATAAAAGTGACCTTCGTTATTACCCTTTGTTTTTTCATTTGTTCAGTCCTTTGTTCATTGTTCAACAAATATTATTGTGCAACTATTAGAAAACCAGGCACAGTGTTAGGTGCTGGGTGAACACCATAAAACAGATAACTCCTGTGGTTACTCCTTCAGTGGAGTTTTAGATAGGTCCTCAGGGCTGTGGTGCATTCATGGTGACCATGTTCGTGCGCTGTGGGAATTCTGCCCCAAGACCTCCCGTGGGTGACTGGCTGGAAGTTCTAGGCTAAGTGTGCAGATTTGATTTCCACACAAAGAAGCACTTTCTAACAATTAGACCTGGTCATCTGCAGAATAGTCTTTCTTTTGGGATTGTAAGTTCCCTGCCACTGGAATGATTCAGGCTGAGACTCTCAAGAATACTGTAGATGACGTCTCAGAAGAATTGTGAGCTCTTTGAAGACAGGTCTGTGTCTCATTCAGTTTTAGAACTGGAGCCTCACAGCGCCTTGCACACAGCAGGTATTCAATAAAAACTTGGTAGGTAAATGAATGGATGGATGAATAAAGTGGAAGAGAGGCTGCAATAAGATGATTTCTCAAAGCCTGTGCAACTCTGAGATTCAGCAATTTCATATTAAGTCAGTGCCTCCAAAAGGTTCAAAATAAAGCTTCTCACCCTCAGCTCAAAAACTGGCAAAACTTACCATGCAAGGTGGCTGCATCCAGGGCTCCCCATCCACTTGCATCGGCAGCAGCTTGTTTGTCCTGGAACCCCAAGAACCAAGATAACACAGTGAGCTTCTTGGAGTCAGAGAATCAGGGTTGTCCCCACCAGAGAAACAGAAATGGGAAGACCTTATTTGCCCACCTAAGAGTGCTTCTCTAAGACTCTCCTGGGGGGTTGTTAAAAATAGATTCCTGAACCCATATCAAGGATACTGACTCGTCATGTCCAGGAGTCTGCATTTTGAGAAGTACTATGGGTGATTCAGTTGCTTTGGTCCTCAGACCCTATTTTGAGAAACACTGCCCTGGGTGAGCAGCAAAGTCCACAGAAGACTGGGAAACAGTGGCCAATAGTATGGCAACACCACTGCTGAGCAGACCCTCAGTCAAACAATCAGCCAGAGGGCCTGCGGATGGTGCTAAAAATTTCACTGAAATGGGAAAGGTTATGAAATGGGAAAAGGCCTGGTTTTTATGTTGAGTGAGAGGCTGCATCATGTCAATGATGTAACGTCTTCAACCTGTGCAATGTACAGCTCAGGTGTCAGTGTGTCTTGCCTTGGCCTGGGTCCTAACCATCCCTTCTTTCATCTCTTGAACAACACTACACTTTGTGGGTTCATGAATGGTGGATCTGGCTTAGCTGTGAAATAAGGTCTTTGGGAATATTGTCCTCATTGGTAGGAGCAGAGAAGAAGAGAAAGCGTTGCTTTCTTGCTTGGGACAAAGCTTCTCTGGCATGTGGATTGTCAAAAAGAGAGAGATGAGGTCTTCTGACTTCCTTTGCTAAAAGAGTTGTGAATTCTCATTACATCATCTTTGGGAGAAAAGGCAGGTCCTTTCAGAGGTCTCTGGTCTGGGCCAGGAGGGGATAGCGGCTACCCAGAAAGCCCTCATCTGGCAGCTGCCCTGCTTTTGAAATGATAAAATAAGGGAGGCAAGTTGTGTTTTAATGTAGATGATTCTCTGACTGCCCCTAGGGATATTTAATAATAAAAAATAAACCTAATAACAAAACAAATAATAAGAGGAGAGAGTAGGTTTTTGTTCTGAGGGCTGAGGAGAGCATCTGAAAAACATACAGGAGGATGGGGCTCCTGGCTCACCCTCTCTGTTTTTATCTGGAAACAGGTCTACTGAATATAAAGAGAAATCCCTCCCTCTTTTATGTGTGTGTGTTTTTTTAATTCTTCTGGGATCAAGATGTTACATTCTCTACAGTCTACATAAATTATAGCTTAGATGTGCTGACTGTACCCACTCGGTGTTAGAATCATGGAAACTGGATGGGGAAGGAAGTACAGGGATTAATCTGGAAAGCAGGGGCCCCAGCATAGCAATGGCCCAGAGATAAAGAGGAGCAAAGCTTTGGGGGAATAATAAAAAAGACAGAGAAGACACAGAGAAAGAATGAAGAAAAAGGGTTAGTGGGGTAGATCTTCAGCTAAGAGACATCAGGGAACAAGCTCAGGAGACCATCCTGAGGAATGCAGGGGAGTGTCAAGAACAGAGTTTCCATAAGTGTGCTCTGAGGACACTTGTCCAAGGGGTTCTGAGAGAAAAGAATTCTGTGGTCAAGTAACTTTGGGAAACCTGCATGCTGTGGTCCCCTCTAGGAGATCCCCAAGGTGCACTAATAGATTTGACCTGTAGTAAATGAATGGGAAAAGGAAAGGAACAAAGACTTCTGAAATAATCAGGTGGAAAAGAATCTGATTAGTTGCACTGATTAAACAGAAGCAACTGAAATCAGAGGATCCCCTCCTTTAGGCTCCTTCCCTCCTAGGAGCCTGCAGTGGCTGAACTTTGTGGTCCATACCTTGAGTCCTCATCTTCTTAGTCAATTATAATGAGTTTCCTGATGTTGCTGGTTTAGTTCTACAAAGGCATATAGGAAACAGTGTTTCTAAGGCCACTACCCAAGAAAGAGCAGAGCAGAAAACCTGGTTTTTGTCAGAATGTGCCCTCTGACATACATCTAACATTTTAATTTGTAGAGATTAAAAAAGCAAGGAGTCTTACACTCCTTTTTAGAGAATTTCACCAATTCATTCAAAGGTAACAGCAAACTGGTTGTGGTGGACCCTCTAGTCTATGTCTTAGATGACTGCATATATCCAGTTTGGAAAATTGTCTCCAAAGAAATACATTTTTTATAAACATTATCAAGTTTCTGTCCCCATGCTTCCTGCACCCAAATCTAGGAAGGTCAGGAGGCTTGGAGGCTGCTGGGTAATGAGGAAGCATACCTGATGGTGACGGAGGAGCACTGGGCCAGCCTTCTGCCTGCACTCTTCAGGCCAGTGTAGATCTGCCCCATTTCCATGGCTCCCTCTAGCCCCACCACTTCAAGAAGCTGGTCACTGAGGTCTGCAGAGTGAGACAAGCAAAGGCAGTACATACACATGTTCCTCAGGCAGGTTTTGGCCAGAAGGTCTAGGCCCTAGATGGCCAACCCAGATCTGTCAATATCTCTTCATCTCCCACCAAACAGCATTTTCATACTCCTTCTGAATAGAAAATTTCTTCATAGGTAATTAAATGTACCTTTTCATGAGCAGAAATCCAGTTCTAGTGAAAAAAGGTTTTGATTCAGAACATTAATATGCATCCAATGAATAGGGTGGCATAGCAAGAAACTTCTTCAAATGTGGATAACGTAAATGATGAACCAGCTATTTCTGAAATTATTTTCAAACTAAAAAGACATTGGATTGGGATTAATATAGGAAAGAANAATGTGGATAACGTAAATGATGAACCAGCTATTTCTGAAATTATTTTCAAGCTAAAAAGACATTGGATTGGGATTAATATAGGAAAGAACCTGGCCAGGTGTGGCTCAGAGGTTGAGTGTCAACCTAGGATCCAGGAGATCAGGGTTTGATTCCCGGTCAGGGCACACGCCTGGGTTGCAGGTCCCATTCCCAGGAGGCGGCCGATCAATGACTCTCTCATCATTGATGCTTCTATCTCTCTCTCTCCCTCTCCTTTCCTCTCTCTAAAATCAATAAAGATACATTAAAAAAAAAACTTCAAAAAAAAATATAGGAAGGAATGTTGATGAAAGTCGTTATTCATAGCTGGATCAAGTTTCTCTTCTCCGAATGTCTGAATAACATCTTGGCCCTACTGATGATGACTGATGGATAATTAACCTCAATTTTGGCCTGTGGTAAGCCAGTGGTGAGCCAACCTCCTTGGACATCCTTGGGGAAATCAGTGACCTCTTTCAGGACACCAGGTGCCTAATCTGAGCCAAGGAAAAGAATATTTCACCTACACTAGATTATTCTGGTCCACAGTACAAAAAAGAGGAACAGAAAATATTAGTCTCAGGCTCAGCATCACGTAATACAGACAGCCTCCCACAGTGGCAGTTACTTCTGATTCGGCACCTCTGAAAAGGTCCTTTTTTTTTCAAAGTTCCTGAGGCTTAGGTTGTACCTGCCCAATTTCTTGTGAAAGCAATAGCTGGATTAAGATTTGATGTTGGCTGACGTCTTACTTTTACAACACAACTTTTACTTAATTAAAACAGAAGTGAAACAAAAAGGCAGATTCTTTAAAAGCATTCCTTTGCCTACTAAGGCAAAGGTACTTTTTTCATAGGTTGTAGTTAATCACTAGCATCCTATTAATATCCACAAACTACAAAATTATGTCTATGTTAATGCTTTTGTTTATTTAACAGATGGCTTCTGTCTTCTAAGGAACCTCCTGATATATTGTAATAGTGTTTGTTAGCATTGGCAAGCAGATATTTGGGTTTGTTTTTACTTTTTTTGTTGTTTAAAAGACTATTGTTTAAAAAACATGCTCTTGATGGATGTATCTGTAGTGAAGACAGCTAAACAAACTGATGGGCTGACCACAAATGTGTCAACATTGCTAATGTCTAACCTACTGGTAATCACTGATGAACATCAACTGCCAACAGATACACAAATTGCATTAGACTTTCTGTGACAGGCCCATAGCTTTCCCCCTCTACATCCATTGGCACTCCCATTCTCCTTCTCTACTACTCTTTTCTTTTTTTCACATCTATGAAAAGATATTGTCTCCTTGAAGTCTCCATCTCATTTGGACTTAGAACAAGAAGTCACGAAAGGGCAATGTTTGTTTAGGAGAACCCTCCAGGCTCTCTTAAGGAGTTTACTTCCAGTAAACAACACATGTCTAAACCTCTAGTCACTTAATTAGTTCCCTCCTTACCAAAGAGCATTAAATAACCACTGGATAATTTTAGCTTACTGTGTCATTTTAACAGTGTCTGTGAAATCAACATGGGGTGTGTGTGTGTGAGAGAGAGAGAGAGAGCGGGGGGAGAAGAAAGAGGGGGAGAGTGTCTAGGAATGAGGATAGTAGAGGAGTTATATTGAGGTAGAAGAAAGGAAGACAAAGGAGAAGCAGAACTTTTAAAAAGTTTCTCTAGTGGCAGAGAGACAGATGTCTTACAAAATGTTGCTCTTTGTACCAGGTTTTGGTATCTGACAGAGCTGTGATAACTCAGTGTTTTCCCTCCTTGAAACATTCCCTGGTAACAAGATGTTCTAAGAAGCAAAGAACTTAATGGACTCAAGAGTTTCAGCTTTTACAATGTCTTGGTCTTTTAATAAATTTTCCTCTTGAATGGCTTTAACTCTAAAGTTGTTATCACTTCCCACACATTACCTTGCAGTTATCACTTCCCACACATTACCTTGCTTCCTGGCACTAGAAGAGAAGTAATGAAGGCTGATCTCATCAGCATGGTGGGTGTGTGGGGGGCAGGGGCTTGCACAAATGTGGAACTGAGGAGACAAATGTAGGAGCTAGGATCTTGGAACACTTTTTGCCATTCTGCCTTTGAATTTGTACTCTGAATCTTCCCTGGCATAAAGAGGCTAGGATGACTCTTGTCTACTACTGAAGGAAGATTGACTGCTCTTCCATTTCTCTATCATTGCTTAAGTGATTTTTCTTTCAACTCAGAATGCCTACCAGGAAGTTCTGAAGCAAAGAAACCTATTTATCTGTTTCCCAAAACTTACTGGACCACAAGACTCTTGTGTGATACGTATAAACAGTTCATGGTAGTTTTCTTTGGAACACATTTGGGAAATTCTGGCATCATTGAATTCCCTTTACTGTTTCTAGCACAGAAATACTTGTACACAAATTAAATTTGGTATTAAAAATGAAACAGAACAGAGTGCAAGTCAATGACCAGGCACACAGAACAGATAAATGTTCAGAACTCAGAGCCCATGATCAGGACATCTGGTATACCAGGTGTCTGTTTTACCTTAGGTACCAGTGATTCAGAGTGTGGTTTTGGCAATTCATATCATCTCCATATCATCTTTACACTCTTCAACTCAGTATTTAAGATGAAATGTCCATGCACCTTAGTAAAACAGGAATTAATTTATTCACTCGCTTACTCATTCAACAGTTACTGAGTAGCAACCAACTGCCAGGCACTCTGTTAAGAAGTGGGGATACAAAATATTTTAGTTTTAAAGGACTTTTAGCCAAGAGGGAGAAACATGTTAGGTGTATAAAATGCTGTAATTGGCCCTATCTGGTTTGGCTCAGTGTTTAGAGTGTCAGCCTTCAGACTGAAGGGTCCCGGGTTCGATTACAGCCAAGGGCACGTACCTCAGTTGCAGGCACAGCCCCGGTTGGGGGGTGTGTGGGAGGCAACCAATAGATGTGTCTCTCTCACATCGATGATTCTCTCTCTCTCTCCTTTCTACTCTCTCTGAAAAGCAATGGAAAAAATATCCTTGGGTGAGAATAAAAAAAAAAGCTGTAATTGGACCATAGGAACAAGGAGGCCTGAGTAGCTGACTCTGACTGACCCAGATATGGAAGAAAGGTGTCACTGACATTTAAGGAAGGTCTTGAAGGATGATACCAAGGTAATTTGCTGGGTTAGGAAGGAGAAAGAGGAAGAACATTCCAGGGACAGGGATAATCATGTGTAGTATTGGATAGTCACAGGATGCAGAAAGAAATTCATTTAGCAATAAACCCATTTGGCAACTTTACCGGAGGATATAAAAATTATTTTTACCTAAGGAGAATTACTGTCCAGAGAGTGTTTTTTGACAGAACTATACAAAGAGGGTCTCTGGGCAGGGCACAGGGTTGTAGCAAGCACAGAGCAAGGCCTTTCAGCGATGCTCTCGGTAACAAAGCCTTGGGTAGTGTTTTGTGTGCAGTGAACTAAAAAATATGCACTCTGAAAAAAGGAAAAAGATGAATGGGGAGATGGGAAGGGGAAAATGTGGACGCAAAGGAGGAAGAGAAAGGACAATAGCATTTCCTATTTTGCCTACTTGGTTCAGCTCCCAGAGTGCAACATTATAAATGCAAATCTACTTGTGTCATGCCCACACCCCAAATCCTTCAGTCATAACACCAAGAGCTGGGGAGAGAAGATGAAATGTGTAGTCTTTTACACCTGTGGTGAGAGTGGAAGCTGGCAGAAAACATTTTGTGAAGAAACTCGTATTGCGGATTCATTCATTTTTTCCCCTTGTTACTGATCACAAGAAATCATGTATAGAATCTAAGTTCATACAAATAGGAACACTGTAGCATCATTTGTAATACAGGCATACCTTGTTTTATTATGCTTCGCTTTTTTCCCTTTTTTACAAGTTGAAGTCAAGACCCTCCACCAACAAAAAGACTGCCTAAAGGTTGGCTTTACTGCAATACTTGTTTTATTGTGGTTGTCTGTAACTTAACCCACAATGTCTCCGAGGTATGCCTGGAGTAAAATCTCCTCCTCCCTTATTTCCATCTGTATGAAAACAGTTAAATAAATTATATGGTATCCATAGAATAGAATTTTATGCTGCCACTAAAATATTTACACAGTTTCAAAAACATTAAACGTGTATATGCTATAATGTTAAGTGTGAAGGAGTGGTATACACTTACTTATATAGCCTGCTCTCAACTATGTAAGAATATGCATAGAAGAAAAAGACAAATTACCCTAAAATTGTAACAGTGGTGAGTTCTGGGTAATTAGATTAAAGGTGATTGTTATTTTCTACGTTATACTTTTCTAGGTGTTTCATATTTTCTATAAGTACGTATCAATGTTATAACTTAAAAGTCCTTAAAAGAAAAACTATCAATCGCTCTTCACACTTGTAAAGATGATGTAAATACCCTGGCTTGATGCCCAGGGCCCATCCTCATCTGCAAAGAGGCTGCCTGTGCAGTTTATTTCCTGACGCTCTAGCGCGAGGACCAGCTCCGGACGGACACAACAACATGCAGTTCCCCAGGCAAAGCCTACTGTTTCCCTCCTTTGTGCCACTGCATATGCTGTACGCTTGCTTGAAACGCCCTCTTCCACTTTT